TGGTGGTATTGTTATCCAGAGGTAACTACAAGAAGAGCTACCATCCCAGCACTGGGGGGACAAAAGAGAAAGTGGTATTATACAAAAGCCACAAATGCTGTGCTTCTGAGGCTTTTGGAACAAAACTGTTACATGATTAAACTGCTCCCTGCTTCTCAGGAAGCCAGCTGACTTCAGGAGGCTCCCTACTCGTGGAGGCAGAGAAGCACTGCTGCTGAGGCTACTGGAGCCTGAAGAAGAAAAATGCCTTCTTGTCTTCCTCTTGCTTTTTGATCTCCCAGTAGCAAAACTGAATGAGAGACCAACTGACAAGTGAGTCTGGGAATTTTTTCTAAGGATTCCAGTACCCTTGCAGTACAGAAGAGAGAGCAAGAAAAAGGAGCTGAAAGACAACAAATAACCAGCACAGTCTAACAACTGGCAAGTGCAGTTTAATTCTCAAGCACCTAGCTCCTGAGTACTATGGATAATGCTATGACACTATGATATGACACTGTAACAAGAGTATTTCATACACTTAAAAATTAATGATCATCCTGGCTGGCGTAGCTCAGTGGATTGAGCGTGGGCTGTGAACCAAAGTGTCGCAGGTTTGATTCCCAGTCAGGGTACATGCCTGGGTTGCAGGCCATGACCTCCAGCAACCGCACATTGATGTTTCTCTCTCTCTCTCTCTTTCTCCCTCCCTTCCCTCTCTAAAGATAAATAAATTTTAAAAATCTTTAAAAAAAATTAATGATCATAAATGTGGGTTAGCAGAAAAAATGTAGGAATTATATTCATTAAATATTCTGCAAATATTTAGCAAGTTCCTACTTTGTGTTCTACTGGAAATATAGTAATACAAGGGAGATTAAAAAATAGAAGAGATCTCTGGCTGGTTTGGCTCAGTGAATTGAGTGCCAGCCTGCAAACTGAAAGGTCACTGGTTCAAGTCCCAGTTTAACAACAACAGCAAAAATACATATTTATATATATTTATATAAATATATAATACATGATATATATTTATAAATATATAATTACCTATAACAATGCATTATATATGTTATATATAATATATATAATATATACAAATAGAAGAGATCTCTTTTCTCCCTGTTTCAGATTGAACAAAATTGCCTGGGAAGGATTTAAATTGGCTTGGCTTGAATCATGTACCCACCTATTGAACGGCATTGTAGCCAAGGGGTGGGTATGTGGAAATAACATAGTGGAAATGCCCACTATAATCCTGAGACAAGGACTTGAGTGCAGTTAGTTTATCAGGAGAATTCAGGAAACACCTGTTGGAGGTGGGGAAGTAAGATAAAGAAGGGAAAGCAGTAAATAAAGGGTGCCTTACCAAGTCAGCTACCACTAGTAATGAGTAAAGCACACCACCACTGGAAAACTCAGGGAAATGGTATGAAATAGATGCCTTGAAGTTATCCCATGTGCGGGGCAAAAAGCCAGATTAGCTATAGAACATTGAATAAGGGGTGCTAAGGTGGGAGATTGATAATTCTCAAGCACTTCCAAATTGTCCTAACTGTACTGTTACAGGACTTTCTTCTACCCTTAGGAGAAAATCCTCAGGCAAAGGGATGCAGACACTGGCAGCTGAAAATCTGTCCCAGAAAATTAAAGTGGTAAAAGCCAGAGAGGTATAGACTGGGATCTATAGGGCCTATTTATCTAATATTTATTAGATAAAAATTTCTTGTACACAGTTATGATTTCCAAATATTTCATGCTTATAAAAGAGTTTTATAAAGTAGGAAGTATGATACAAAGAGTTATTGTCTAGAAGTTTCTTGATGGCAGGGCATGTGTATCATGTTTTATATCTTAGAGAACCTAGTAAGTACAGTACTATACATATGTCATTGGCTCAGATATTCACTGAGTGAATTTGTCAATTTGATTAATACCTGAACATATTTTCTAAAGTTTACAAAGGTGAAATTATTTTTAAACTTTCATTAAAATCAATAACTCGCCCTGGCTGGTGTAGCTCAGTGGATTGAGCACAGGCTGTGAACCAAAGTGCTGCAGGTTCGATTCCCAGTCAGGGCACATGCCTGGGTTGCAGGCCATGGCCCCCAGCAACCGCACATTGATGTTTCTCTCTCTCTCTCTCTCTCTCTTCCCTCTCTAAAAATAAATAAATAAAATCTTTAAAAATATATTTCGGAATTAACTTTAAAAAAATCAATAACTCATTTCTAACTTTTGAAAATTTTTGTTTTAATAATTTTAAGTAGCATAGTCTTGTTCTATTCCTTCTATCATATTTCTTAAATCTAGACCATTGTAGATAACTGTTAATTGCTCACCCAACAATCACTATCTTTTCTTATTACTGTAAAAAATACCTTGATTAGGAGTAAGTTATTGACAGATTTTTGTTGGTTCCAACCAATTGTGAGAATGCTACTCATGAAGAAAAAGCAAGAAAATCATAGATGCCAACCTTGGCGTTGTTGAACTATGGAAGCAATACCAGGAGCCATCTTCCCCCAGCCTTTTTATTATGTCAGAAAAATAAACTAATAAAACTGTTAAACAGGTATTCTGTTCTACGCAGTCAGTGATTCATAACTTTTTAAATAGCATCTTTTCTTTTTTGCATAGCAAGTGACAAATCATTTTGTTTTTATAGTAAATTGTTTAAGATAGTAACACATCAGAAAATCCAGACAAACTACATATTTGGCCACACTACTTTCAATGTTTCTAAATTTACCTCTGAGGAAAGATCACAGTATTCCCCACAAGTCCCTACCTGTGCTCTCCCCTTCAGTATTCACTTTGATATTTTAAAACATCTAAAGAAGATTAACAGGGTGCTGTCACCAAAAAAGTTGCAATGAGATGATGATCTTTCAGGTACAAGTTACTTGAACCTTTCTACTATCCTTGGGCCTCCCTTCTGAGAGATGACCACAATCCTGAAGTTGAAATGTAACCATCCTATCTTTATGTTCTCATTTTACCAGTTGAGGAAATATGTCCATAAACAAGGTAGTATTATTCTGTTTTAATACTTTTAGCCAGCATTATCTAATGTAAATATGTCAGCTATGTGTGTGGTTTTAAATGTTCTAGTAGCCACATTAAAATAAATGAAACAAATAAAATTTAATGTTATATTTTATTTAAACCAACGTACCCAAATTATCATTTCAACATGTAATTGATAAAAAAATTGTTAATGAGCTATGCAATATTCTGTTTTCTTAAAATTTCTATTAAGTCTTTGAAATCCCACTTTCAAAAGTTGAAGTTGAAAAAAATAGTCATATATTCAGGTTTGTTCCAAGCACACTTGTTTTTCAATAACTGAAGTCAGTTTTTAAAATGTAAAATAATTAACATAAAATTAGTAATTCCATTTTTCAGCCCCAATAACCATATTTCAGGTGTTTAATAGCCACATTTGTCTAGCAGACACCCTATTGGATAGTGCAGACTGAAATTATAACACCATTTCCCATCTTTCTTTTGACTACTCAATTTATGTAATATTTTAATTCTTTTGTTTTCCTTTGCCATATCCTAGAAGGGAAGTGCATAGATGGGATGGCTGGCTTTGAAGTTGAGGTCAGATGACATTTTACATTTTAAAAATACCATCGCCCTGCCTGGTGTAGCTCAGTGGATTGAGCGCAGGCCTGTGAACCAAAGGTTTGCCAGTTCAATTTCCAATCAGGGCATATGCCTGGGTTGCAGACCAGGTCCCCAAGTACAGGGCACACAGAGGCAACCACACAATGTTTCTCTCCCTCTCTTTATCCCTCTCTCTAAAATAAATAAATAAATCTTAAAAAAATATATCACTCAGGTAGTCTATATTAACCTTCAAAAAACTTAATTGCTTTGTATTTTAGCTTAAACAATGGATTGTTAAACAAGGTGTATCTACTGCTAAGGACATACTGTAACTAGCCAAGGTGCAGCTTTATTAGCCGTTCCCATCCTTCTGCCCCGCCCTACACAAAGCACTCGCCCACGTCCATGCACGCACGCACGTCCGCGCAAAGGCACACACATCCATGTACAAACACGCACACGCTTAGAGACCATCATGTGAGCGCGGACCGCCCAGGAGACGCGGTTTATTTCCCCACTCTGGAAAATGTCTGAGGAGCACTCAAGCTAACTCGGTATTGGTAGGGTTCCCCGTCTCCTTTTAAAAAATAACTAGACTCCGCCCTCTCCAGGTCCATTCCCGGAAAAATAAAAGATTGGGGGTGGCGGTTTAAAGGCCTATTATAGTCTACCAGTCAGTAGCCCCACCTCAAGAAGCGGCAGTATTTGTGAGCCTAAGAATAAAACAAATCCTTGCAGAAACACACAAGATTTCGAAAAGACCTTCAACCAAGGCAATAGCGAGACTGTCGCCGTGGAGTGGTCGGGATGGGCGTTTTCGCTTAAGCAGGCACTCTAAGTTGCGTCGATGAATGCCCTTCAGCCACGGTGTTAGCTGCGGGTCCTCCAGGACCTGAAAAGCGCCAGATAGCCTGAGTTCTCCTTGTTTTGGGTTTCCCACGAAAGCGTGGTCACAACGGAAACTCTTATCATAGATAAGATAACGGCCCCAAAACTTTTTTTCACCACCCTTACTCCCCGCCTACACTCGGCGCCCTAGTCTAGTGCTTCGCTTCGGGAGTTGAGTGACCTAGTCGTCTAAAATGCCAGCTCTGCAAAATTCCAGGAGCTAAACAGCAACCAACCAATTTCCCAGGACAGATTAGAAAGGAGAAAACATCGCAAACCCAACAACACGCCCCAATTCCTCCCGAGCTTTAAAGGGGGGAGCGGGGGGGAACCGGCCTGTTCTCGCGTGGCATGCTGGGATATGTAGTTCCTTCAACTCTTGAAGGCGCGGGGTCAGGGCCGAGCTCATGCTGACTCCCCAAAACAGTACTACAATTCCCGTTGTGCCTTGCGGCAGAGTGGAAGGGGCGGGTCGAGAGAAGGCGCATCGCGCTTGCGCAGGTTGAGGGGCCGGAGGGAGGTGGAGACTCAGCGGTCCAACTGCAGAAGCCTCTCCATGTGACAGAGAGCTGGGTTCCAGCTCCGGGAGCCGCCGGAGTCTGAATACGGACTGCAAGCTCTGTCCACTGTCCCGGAGCCAACAGACACCAGCTCGTGGGGAACGCTTGGTGTTTGGCCGTACCGCCGTAGAACTTGTGGTGTAGAGTGAACTGCTGACTCCAGGGCAAGTTCTTGAGGGACCCCGCGGAGACCCGGGAATCTCCAGAGAGACTGAGAGGCGGAGCGGCGAGGCGAGATTTCTGTCCGCGCCGGCGCCCCCAATCTTGGAATCATGAACGGCTTCACGCCTGAGGAGATGAGCCGCGGCGGGGATGCCGCCGCTGCCGTGGCCGCAGTGGTCGCTGCCGCCGCCGCCGCCGCAGCCGCTTCGGCGGGGAACGGGGCCGGGGCGGGAGCAGGAACTGAGATGCCCGGCCCCGGGGCAGTCTCGGCGGCTGGACCCCCGGGAGCAGCTGGACCGGGCCCGGGGCAACTGTGCTGTCTGCGGGAGGACGGTGAGCGGTGCGGCCGGGCGGCAGGCAACGCCAGCTTCAGCAAGAGGATCCAGAAGAGCATCTCCCAGAAGAAGGTGAAGATCGAACTGGATAAGAGCGTAAGTGACTGCGGGACAGTTCTGCCCTGCCAGCCTCCTTGGGGCCCCGGGAGCGGTGCAAACGGGTTGTTGGGCCAGGGGTTCAGAGCTCCCCGAGACCTTGCTGCAGTGCAAACCCGTTGTGAGGTCTCTAGTAGAAAGCAAAAAACCAAGTCGCAGCAACTCCGACTGCCACCCCCAAGGGACACACACTAGCACCTTGTGCTTTCCCTCCGCTTCAATCCTCCGCGTCCCTCCTGCTCCTGTCTCCCCCCCCCCCCGCCCCCCCAGATCCGGAAACGAAACAAAGGGAACGAGCGCACGGAGGGAGGCTGGAGTAGTTTTCTTGTTGCCCGGCAGCTCCTTCTGGAATGGAGGCGCCTTTGTTTTGCTGCCCAAGCTGGCGTTTGGCCCCAGGAAGTAGCTTCCCCGGTCTAGGGAAAGTGGAATCCTGCGAGGACCTGACGCCACAGTCAAGAAAGATCCAGTCTCGTTCCCCTGTGTAAGAGTGAGAGGAAAGCCAAGCTCCTGCCGCACCTAGCTGTGATCCTGGGTTCTGGACGCTGGCGGCGATGTCAGCATCTAGGGCAGCTGCTCCGAACGTGGAGAGCCGTTTGGCAGCCATCAGGATTTCTTTTTCTGTCCTTTTTGCATGTCTGCTCTTTTGACCATCTGTGAGACTTCTAGAAATAACCATCGACGTTTTCTGGAGCTCTGGCAGATGTAAATTAATAACAAGATGTCAGAACCTAGTACATGTCCTGCTTATTTTTAACTTGCACTTATCTTAAAAGTTTATTTTAAAGCTTGTTAGGTCAGTCCTTGTTTGGTGTTTTTTCTTTAAGAAGTAATTTATTATATAAAGGTCCTAATATCAAATGTTACTATACAGCTCTCAGACTATGTGATTCACATTTTGTAAAGTTTGTATTCTTTTCTGTTTTTTTAAAACAGTTTTTCAGTCATGTTCCTGAGGAACTTTTTAGGTAGACTTGAATAATTTCACATTGCTTTGGTTGGGAAACACAAATACATTTAATACTCCGAAAATTTTATAATTTCAAATTTAAAATTTAGTTAGGATATGAAAATCAATAGCTGATTTGGAAAAATGAATAGTTCTGTATCTGGATTGTAATTTGAGTATTAAATTAGGAAGTATATGTTATGCTATTAACATATGCTCTTTAAGTAGAGAAAATACTATCAAATAGCAAAATTGTGGGCAATGCCATCATTCCCCTTGTTAGCAAACCAGTATGACCCTTCTCATCTAGTTCACCCTAACTGCAATTTGATGACAAAAATCTAGAGGGTTGGAATTTCTCATTCTCCTCGCCTTTCTCTCCTTACTGTCACCCCTCCCCCAACCCCCTTCCCAGTCCTCTTAGCAGTATTGCCAGACATGGTGTGTTTTAACTGGCAGGACTTTAGAGAAAAGCATGCCCTTGTCTTAACAATGCCCTGTTTTGACTATGTCTTTTCTTTTTTTTTATGATTCACTGTGGCCTATGTATTTCACCAATACATAGACACATTTTAATGCAATCCTAAGTAGTCTGAAACCTTTCTGTTTCAGGTAAGGCATCTTTACATTTGTGATTATCATAAAAACTTAATTCAGAGTGTTCGGAACAGAAGAAAGAGAAAAGGGAGTGATGATGATGGAGGAGATTCACCGGTTCAAGATATTGATACTCCTGAGGTAGATGAAAGTTTTTGCATGCTAAATGTAAATCCTAAGTAGTCCATTCTGAATGAAACTCATAAAAAAGATATGAACAAATTTTAAAAATACTTAAAACATTTGAAAAATCTGAAAATGAAAGTAAAATTAAATATAGACAGTTAACACACAGTTATACAGTTTAACTTGTTATATTTTCAGTTGACAATTTCTATAGTTCTGTTTTCTTACAACTTTTTCCCCAGTTTTTAATATTTATTCTCAAAGGATTAAAATGTTTACTACATTTATAGTTTTGATTCTGTAAAAAGTTTTTTAAATAATAGAATGAAAATTTCATAGTTCTATAATTGAAATGTTATTATACACATGAAAGGTAAGTTTTTAACTAACTGCATGAACTTATTCATATGTTTTTTTTTCCTAGGTTGATTTATACCAGTTACAAGTAAATACACTTAGGAGATACAAAAGACACTTCAAACTTCCAACCAGACCAGGACTTAATAAAGCACAACTTGTTGAGGTATTTATGAATTTTAAACTTTGTAAAACTTTAAAGAACTCTCTGTTCATTCCAAAAAAAGGGTCATTAAATGCAAATGAAATTGTTAACACTGTATAAAACAATATATTTTAATTAGAATCAAAGTTAATTTTAAAGATGTTATTAGAATCTAGTTATCTAGAAATGTTTGTCTGCTTCTTAGGAAATTTCTTTATGTAATGACTAATCAATGGATTATGTATAGTTTTCTAAGCATCTTCTAATATTGGCTCTCAAAAATATTGTTTCAGCATTTTTATTCTCATTCTAGAAATTTATTTTAAAATTCCATTTACTCAGTAAATATTTATTGAACGTCTAATTGAGGAATAATAAAACAAGTTAATATACTTTGATGTCTTTATTAGAATTTTTTTTAAGTTTCTGATGGAATAAGTCTGCAAATAAGCCCGTAACCAGTATTTCCACAACTTTCTGATTTAACCATTTCAGAATTTGTCCTTGTTGATGTTAGTTTGTTTTATTTTAATCATTCATGTTTTCTTCGAATCTAGAAGATGCAAAGACTATATCCAAGCTTTTACTTAATAGTTTGCTTTGATATAGGACTTCGGTGAATTTTGAAAAGTTGAGTGTGTGTGGGTGTGTGTGTTCTCAGGAAAAATAGAACCAAGAATTCTTTGCATGGTATTAAGATGTTTATTTATATAAATATATATTTATACTTAAACCACATTTAAAATATTAAAGACTTAACCTACTAGGTAGAATAGAAATTTATAAGTATATAAATCACTTTTCTCATGTTCTTTAGCTTGGATGTAGTAATCCCACATTTTCTAAAATCCCACATTATCTTATGCATATTGCATAAGATAAAAGGTGAATAGAAGGTATGATTCTTTGGCAGAATGCAATGCTTTTTAACATTGTTAAGATCCAATATATTAACTTCTTAGCCAGAATTTTTTCTTCCTTCTTGCCTAGGCAACAAAAATTCAATTTTTCTTTAAATCTGATTTAAAAGATCTGGTCTTTTGGATTCTATAGCACATTACTATAACATAAATATATATAGCATCTACCATGATGAAACTATATCAAAATATACAAATACTAGTTGAGTATAAGTACTCTGTTTTGGAACAAATGAGAACCCAATAAATGATTATTTTAAATGTATATATTCTTTAAATGCATAAACCAAACCTGAAGTTTTTGATAATCTGATCTAAAAATACTATATTAATTCTAGAGCTATTTCTTATTTTAAAATGAGAAATAGCCACAATCTAAATAGCCATGAGTATTATAGTTTATTTAGTCAGGTATGAATATTTATAGTTGATTTCAGCATTGAATAACCATCCTTCTTAAGTCTCTTAATTATCATTTGGATAGGCATTCTTTAAGAAGCCCATTTTATCTTCTAGAATCTAGATACGCTTTTGAGCATCTGAGTTTAGTCAACCATGCCTCTGTTGGTAGTTGCAGTGCACAGGTTGGATTAGTGAAAAGGCAAGAAAGCAAGTCTAGAATGAACATCCATCCCTCTTTCCCCTCTCATTTTCCATTTATAATTTTTATTCAGAAAAAAATTTTAAGAAACCTTAACCGAAGATATTCCCAGCCCTGGCCAGGTAGCTCAGTTGGTTGGAGCATGGTCCACATATGCCAAGGTTGTAGGTTTGATCCCCAGTCGGGGCACATATGTGAAACAACCAGTGAATGCATAAATAAGTGCAACAACAAACCAGTGTTTCTCTCTCTCCGTTTCTCTTTCTCTCTCTAAAATCACGAATTAAAAATTTTAAAAAATACATTGCTGTTGAATGTAAGTTGTAGCAAACATGTTTGTAAGATATTTTATGGTTTGTTTCTGTAGTACCAAATTTTCGATTTCATATTTACCCTTTTTCTATGAGTAGGATCTAAACCATTACATGATGAATGTGGACTCTTACGTCCTATTTCATTGATATTCCAAGTTTTTAAAAGTTAAAAATTACCAATATGCTTTAGACTTTCACAGGATTTTAACATTTTTTTTATTTTTAAACATATAAAAACAGTTAAGAGTGAATCTGGATTTATACTTTCTTTAAAGCCATTTGTAACAGTTTTCTTAGTTTTAATGCTTTCTTAAATAAAACAGTGCATGAATTTCAAGTTGTATATTTGCACACTATTTTATTATTTTTATCAAATATCCTGATATTTAGTTTTCTTTGTCTTTAGGGTGTTTAAGTATGTTACTGTAGTAGCAAAACCTTTTCTTTTTAAAAATCTCTACTATTAATTTTAAACTTTGTTTGTATTAAGTAAAAGTTAAATCATACACTGCAAGGTGTAGGAGGATTTAACAAACCCAATGATAGATCTGATTACTAAGTTTGATCTGTTAGCTGTTTAATAATTTATATTTGTGGCTTTTATTGTTTGGTTAGTTAGGGTTTTGCTTTTACTTCTATGCTACAGTAGTTTGCCATGTAGCAATTGCACTGTACAATGTTACAGTAAGCACTGGGAAAATTTTTGTGGATGTAATGCCTATTACCGTTTGCAGTAGTATTTCTCTCTCGTTATCAGTGATTTAAATGTGATCAGGCCTTCTATACTTTGTCACAAAAAGCAGGTTTTCTAGGGGACTGTTTTGGTGAGTGTCAAAATAAGAATTTATGCTATATTACCGTTGATTAAAATATATAGCAGCAAAAAAAAATAATCAAAGTAAACGATTACTTCCTAACCTGGATTCCAGTTACAAAATTTAAAATAAATAAAAAGAAATACACATTCTAATTAATGTATATTTAATTGAGTGGGCTGAAGGGGCCTTTGAAATTATACTATCTCGTTTATAACATCTTATTCTTACATGCTTTTCACCCTGTTGGCATTTTGTTGAATACAATTTATTTTTAAAAGGAAACAGGGTAGAAATGGGAGGGAGGTGGGGAGGGCTCGGGGGGTGGGCTGGGGTGGGGGTGAAAGGCAAAAAACTATACTTGAACAACGATTAAAATTAAAATAAAAAACATTAAAAAAATCTCTGGGGGCTGCAGAGAGTCCCCAGACTAACTCAGATATTTGGTACAATGTTTAAAAAAGGCGGGGGGGGGAATAACTCTTATCACATAGCACTTTTTTCTTTTGATGAAAGTGTTTTTTTTACCTCGTTTATGAAATCTGTTAATATCTATAATTTAATTTCCTCAATTTTTTTTTCTTTATAGATAGTTGGTTGCCACTTTAGGTCTATTCCAGTGAATGAAAAAGACACCTTAACATATTTCATCTACTCAGTGAAGAATGACAAGAACAAATCAGATCTCAAGGTTGATAGTGGTGTTCACTAGGAGAGATGGAATTGAGACTAAGACTTGGATGTTCAGATGTTAAGACTGTTTACTGCTTTTCATGTGTAGAAATAAATGTTCCTGTGTATTTTTTCTACAGAGGATTTTCTCTGGTTTTATTTTCTTTGTTTCTGATTCTAATAATTAGTTGGAAACTCGTGTAAAATGAGCTTTCCTAGATTAACAACTATTTTAAATAAAGGTTATTACTATTATAGTTGCTTCAGTGTATTTATTTTGTGAAACTTGATTTTCATTTTAAAATGACTTTCAGGGACCTGTATCAGTTGAGATTTTAATATAAAGATAATTTTGTTACCCCCTGCTCCTCCTTTTTTAATCCCAAGAAATTAACAGGTTAAGGATAACAAATTCAGCACATTTGCTTTCTCTGTGATGACCTTATTTGGAATTAAGAATATCTTAAATAACATTTTGTAAAGTGCTTTTTAGTGCTAACAAATTTAAAAAATAGAGCTCAATTAGGATGCAACTTTATTTCCTTTTTTAAAAAGTTGTTATTTCTTGATGAAGTGTCAGGAAGAAGAAAAGTTTAATGCCTACCTCCTTCCAAAGAAGATTTAATATGCTAGCAAACATAAGCACAGTGTTGAAAGTTCCGATAAGAACATAGAATTAGCCTGGGCTGGTTTGGCTCAGTGGATTGAGCATTGGCCTGTGAACCAGGGAATCACTGGTTTGATTCCCAATCAGGACACGTGCCTGGGATTCAGGCCAGGCCCCCAGGCCAGGGAATGCTCAAAAGACAACCACACATTGATGTTTCCCTCTTCCCCTCTCTAAAAACTAAATAAAATCATTGGGGGGGGAAACATAAAATTAGTTATAGCTGTGTCTTTAATTTTTTTCTTGAAATAGAAGGTACTTATATGACATGGATATAAAAAGAACCCCTGCAATATCCCTTGATTTTCCATCATGTCCTGTACTGTTCACATTGCAAATTAAAACTAATAAAGTGAATATCTAAAAGTTGAACAATCCTTAAATTTTGGTTATACATGGCTGTGACTTGATTTACATTTTATTTCCTTTTACAGTTCATTCTCTGTCAGTTTTCTGAATATTTTTAACCTCTCCTTTTCTTGATACTGTATTGTATACCCAAGTTCTTATAATTACAAATCAGATTTACATCTTGTACATGTAAACAGCTTCAGGGCAGTATTCTGAGATTGTGCTGCAGATTGTAGGCTGGAAATGTGTGATGTAGCTCAGGGATTCTCAAAGTTGACATTTGGGTCTGATAATTCCTTACTGGGAGAGGCTGTCCTGTGTGTTACAGATTTAGCCATCCTTGGAGTCCACTCACTACTACCAGTAGCACTCTGAAGATTCACAATCAAAAATATCTGTCAACATTGCCAAACATACCTTGGGAGGCAAAGTTATCCCTGGTTAAGAACCACCGGTGATTTAGCTGAATTTTTTAATTTAAAGTACTGTTTCATTAGAAAGTGAGTATTTTTAAATATTTTCAAAGTATCAACAGCTAGAAAATGATGAAAAAGCCACAGGGTTTGTTTTTGCTGTGACCGTTTAAAAATTTACTTGTTTCTTTATTGATGAGCAGAGGCTGTGATAATGGGTGTTACAGAATCCTCTCCTATCCAGCATCCCAGAAATTTCTGTGAGAACTTTTTTTCTTAGCTATATGAAAATGAGCTACCGCATGAACATGTGGTAGTTTATTTGAATGAAGTATTACTTCCAAATTTCATATTTTTACCTAAACCTACAAAGACTTAACTGTTTCAATAAAACTTAACTGTTAGGCTTATCTTTTCCTATTAAAGGTACTCTATTCTTGTGGGGAAAAAAAGCTTGAAATTATTTACTTACATTAAAGTGTCTGTTTATAAATATAACCTTGGACCAGCAATGTTTTACATAACTAATTTGCATAAAATGTAGTTGGATAAAGAGTGAATAAGAGTTCTGGGTGTTGATTACCAAATGAAATTCCTGTTAGACCAATTTAAAACACGGAAAATTGAGAACTTAACCTCATCAAAGCTGAGGAACTCAGAAAGATGTATTATAAAACCCAACTTTATATAAAATTTTCAAGTCTTTGCTGGTAGGTTTAAAAAATTGTGAATTTACTATAAATCTGTTTACTTACGTATATCAAAACCAAAATTCAATGGAAACTTATCTCTACAAGGGTAGAGGTTACTTTTAAATGTTAGGGCATCAGAAGAAACACCACCTTTGGGTTATGAGAAAGAAAACCTATTAAGATCTTTATAAAGATCTTTAGCTATTAGCAGAAACTCAAGAAATGAGTCTATTGTTCAGTAACAACCCTTCTAAACAATTTGGGAAATAGCTAAAAGTACCTAAATTATTTTTTTATTATTATTACTTATTTTTAGAGAGGGAAGGAAGGGAGAAAGAGAGAATCATCAATGTGCAATTGCTGGAGGTCATGGCCCGCAACCCAGGCATGTACCCTGACTGGGAATCGAACCTGCGACACTTTAGTGCACAGCCCGCGCTCAATCCACTGAGCTACGCCAGCCAGGCACCTAAAATATTTTTAAGAAAATAAGCTAACTATTTTTACATAAGCCCTTTTTAATTGAGATGAAATTTACATAATATATAATGAATCATTTTTGAAGTACAGAATTTGATGGTATTCTGGACTATGTTTATAAGGATGTTTATATAGTGAATAGCCTTGAAATGCACTTGACTCTTGAACAACATGGGTATAAGGAGAACCAACCCTCTCCACAGTCAAAACTCTTTATATAACTTTTGATTCTCCAAATACATAACTACTAATAGCCTACTTTTGACCAGAATCTGTACTGGTTAATCAACATAGTTGATTAACACATATGTTATATGTATTACATACTGTGTTCTTACAGTAAAGTAAGCTAGAGGGAAAATGTTAAGAAAATACATTTATAGTATTATTTAAAACATTTGTGTATAAGTGGATCCACCCATTCGACACATGTTGGAGTCAACTATATATGTCCCTTTTTTTGTCTAGGTTTTCTTTTCCTTACTGTGATATAAATTGTGATACACATTCCACAATTTATTATTCATTTATTGATAGACATTTGAGTTTTCATCTTTGGCTACTATGAATAATGCTGCTATAAATATTAGTGTACAAGTTTATGTATGGGCATGTTTTTATTTCTCTTGGATGTATACCTGGCAGTAGAGTTATGGAATCACATGGTAATTCTATATTTAATGTTTTGAGGAACCTTCAGACTTTTTCCATAGTGACTACCATTTTGCATTTCCACCAGCAATGTATATGAGTTCCTGTTTCTCCAAATTGCCAATACTTGTATTTCCTTTTTGTAAAATTAAATCCATTTGGGTGTGAAGTGTTATCTCATTGTAGTTTTGATGTGCATTTCCTCAATGACCATTGTTGTTGAATATCTTTTTGTTTGCTTGTTGGCCACTTGTATATTGTGTTTGGAGAAATGTCTATTCAAGTCCTTTCTTAAGTTTTTAATTGGGCTATTTGCTTTTTTGCTGTTGAGTTGTAGGAGTTCTTTATTCTGGATATTTGATATATAATTTGCAAATATTTTCTTCCATTCTGTAAATTATCTTTTCACAATCTTGATCTTAATTTAGGTGAGTTTTTAGTTTTTATGTAGTTCCATTTGTTTTTGCTCATACTTTTAGTATAAGATCTAAGAATTCATTGCCAAATCTGAGGTTATAAAAATTAACTTTTTTTTTCTAGAAATTTCATAATTTTATGCCTGTCAATTAAGGTCATTGACCCATTTTGAGTCCATTTTTGTATGTGAAGTGAGTTAGAGGTCCCACATCATTCATTTGCATGTGGTTATTTAGTTCTTCCAGCACCATTTGTTGAGAGACTCTGTTTTGGCACCTTTGTCAAAAATCTATTTGCCATAGATGTTTGGGTTTATTTCAATATTCTCTTCTATTTCATTGGTCTGTATTTGTTTTCTTCCAGTACTACACTCTTTTGACTACATTAGCCTTGTTAGCAAGTTTTGAAATCAGTGTGAGTTGTCCTACTTGTTTTGTTTTGTTTAGTTTTGTTTTCAACATTGTTTAGATTATTTGGGCCCCTTTACAGTTCCATGTGAATTTGAGTATTAGTTTTTCCATTTTTGCCCCCCAAAAAACATTAGAATTTTGTTGAGGATTGTATTGAATCTGTAGGTCACTTTAAGATTGCCATATTAACAATGTTAAGCATTCTAATTCATGAACATGGGATGTCTTTCCATTCACTTAGGAATTCTTTAATTTCTTTGTGCCATGTTATAGTTTCCAGTGTATAAATCTTTCACTTCCTTGGTTAAATTTTTTGCTGATTTTTTTTCATGCTATTGTGAATGAAATTGTTTTCTTAATTTCTCTTTTGAATCGTTCATACTAGTGTATAGAAATACAACTGATTATTGTATGTTGGCAAGACAACTGTGCTGAATTTGTTATCTCTGGTAGTATTTTTATATTCTATGAGATTTTCTCTATATAGAATCATATCTCTAAAGACAATTTTATTACTCTTCCTTTCCAATTTGGACACCTTTTATTTATTCATTTTTGGGGCCAAATTGCTCTGGCTAGGACTTGCAGTACAATGCGAAGTAGAAGTGGTGAAAGCCATCCTTATCTTGCTCTTTTTTAAAGGGGGAGACCTTTCAGTCTTTCACTACTGAGTGTAATGTTAGTGGTAGATTTTTCATAAATGCTACTTATCATGTTAAAGAAGTTCCCTTCTCCTGCTTTGCTGAGTGTTTTATATGATGAAAGTGTATTGCATTTTGTCAAATACTTCTTATGTAACTACTGAGATGACCATGTGCGGTTTTTTTTCCCTTTTGTTCTATTAATGTGGTATATTATATCAAATAATTGAATGTTGTGCTACCCTTGTATTCCTGGGATAAATCTCACTTGGTCATGGCGTATAATCTTTTTAATGTGCTGTTGCATTTGGTTTGTTAGTATTTTGTTAAAGAATTTTGCATCTATATTTTTAAGGTATATTAGGTTAAAGATTTCTTATACTATATCAGACCCTGGTATCAGGGTAATGCTGACTTGATAGAATGTGTTAGGAAGTATCCTTCTTTTCTATTTTTAGAAAAAATTTAAGCAGGATTGATGTTAATTTATGTTCAAATGTTTAATTGCATTCACTAGTGAAGCCATCTGGTCC